CACACACACACACACACAAACACACACACACACACACACACAACACACACAACACACACAACACACACAACACACACAACACACACAACACACACAACACACACAACACACACAACACACACAACACACACAACACACACAACACACACAACACACACAACACACACAACACACACAACACACACAACACACACAACACACACAACACACACAACACACACAACACACACAACACACACAACACACACAACACACACAACACACAACACACAACACACAACACACAACACACACACAACACACAACACACACACACAACACACAACACACAACACACAACACACAACACACACAACACACAACACACAACGCACAACACACAACACAACACACAACACACAACACACAACACACAACACAACACACAACACACAACACACAACACACAACACACAACACACACACAACACACAACACACAACACACAACACACAACACACAACACACAACACACAACACACAACACACAACACACAACACACAACACACACACACACAGAACCCACACACACACAGAACCCACACACACACACAACCCACACACAACCCACACACAACCCACACACACACACACACGCACGCACGCACGCACGCACGCACGCACGCACGCACGCACGCACGCACGCACGCACGCACCCACACACACACACACACACTCTAACAGCAGTAGAAACCCACATTTACAATAAAGCCAGCTAAGCTGCGACCCCAGCAACTGCACGCACAGCAAACAAGACCCCTCTGAGAAGTGGCGCTGCGTTCCAATGCAGTCAGCGCTCCTTGCAACTTGGCTGTCTGTGCGTATGTGCGTCAACTCTGTTCTCGACACTGTGAACACCCACGGTTTCTCCAAAGAAACTCTAAGAAAACCGAACTCTGTCGCCTCCGCCTCTGCACCGGAACTTGTTTCCCACCAATGGCTCTGTCGCGTTCCTGGAACCAACTTTGTGACATTGAGACAAACGTCGGCAGCTTTAGAAGCAGTCAGCTCAGCAAGTCTCTTCATCCCTTGGCCAATTGAGCGCTGTATTGCAGCGAGCAAAGCTCTTCTTGTTTCCAAGACCACCAACACAAGCTCTCTTTGGATAATTTTGATTACAGCGTAGAAAACAGTCCGGGATGCTCAAATGGCCAAACAACATAAATGCCGGCAGCTGTCGCCTGTCGAAATGCCTGGGAATCCAAAGCTGGATTGGTTGGGTCCCCTTCTGCACTTCCTTCCTGAGTGGATGGCTCGAACAAAACCAAACTGGTGTTTGCCACTAAAGTGGTCTTATCAAAAAGTATAAATTCCTTGAACTCAGGCACGTGCAAAGCAATCTTGCCAGGCTTCCCCCAAACACTGTTTCATGAGCCAACTCGACATGACTGCTATCGGTACAGAGGTGAACCCTGTGTCAATCCATACAACGAACCACTATAGTCGGTAACCAATTGAACGTCTTACCTCAAGGTTTTGCCATGGATGGCTTCCCTTGGTGACCTACAGACCCGGACACTACCAATCTCATGCTGCAAGCTTAGTGCTCTTCTGCATAGGGCCATTTGGGCGGTCCCCAAAACGATTGCCACGGAGAAATGCAAGAGGGTTCTATCAACATGGGTGTTTCCCAACAAATGGAAACAAATGGCAAGCATCCCTTGTGGTCAAAATGCTGCTTTGGCCCGAACTGGGGGACTTCAAATCAAAACTGACAGTTTCCCATGTTGTCCCTTCCAGCCCCAAAACGGGTACCAACTCCAAAAAAAGATGAGCTCCCTTACATCACACGCCCAGTTCTTGTCGGGATCTCGGAGTCGGGCAGAGTGCCACTCTGCGGGCTCTCCGATGCCTGGCACCGAGTGAGCCACTCGTGGGAACGTCTTCTTTGGGTTCCCTCTATTTCCAACCTTCAAGCATCACTACCAAATCAAACGCACCTATGAGTCAAAGGGTGATGTTTAAACCCACCCAATAGGGTACGTAATAGGAGTCCCTGGTCTTGGATTGAAGCCAAGAGAAGCCAACCTGGGGTCCCTGCTGAGAAACGCCCTACGTTCAAAATTACGCAGGCTGCCCGAGTACGACATAGCAAAGTTAGGACTCTCGCCTTTTCTGCTGTCGCAAGGAAAGTTAGTAAGTCCTTTAAGTCCCTCTGGAATGGAGCAGCGACTACTGGAGACTTTGACCAAACCTCGAATGGCAACAACTTCCGAGAACCAACCTGGAAGTGATGAGTTTCTGCTGAAATATCTAGGATTTGGACCCCAAAAATGGATTTTGATGCTCTTTTTGAATTGCCCGTTCAAACAAGGTGAACAGGAAACCAGCCACTGCTTCTCTAGATCTCATTCCCTCTGCACTCAGTGCCTTATTCGCGACTGGGGGTCATGGGGATCCTAACCCTGAAATGAGTGATCCAGAATCCAAAAAAAAATCATTGAGCTCAAAATAGGGGATCCCTAATCCTAGTCCGATTCCGTCGGACGTCATATCGCAACAAGGGCAACCACCGCCATGTGCAAGGAACGCTTCTCAGGGCACTCGGAAGCGAGCTGTGAGCTTTGAGTCCAGGATCAACTTTAAAGCATCTCGCTGTACCTTCCGTCGATTCACTCGAAATACCCAGGTGAAGCAGAATTACGCCCCTAACCCTTGGGTATCCCTTGGGTCTTGGCGTCCGTTCTTCAAGGATACTTGATGAGTCACCAACAAGTCACCCGTCGAAAATGCTTGAAACGCAAATGTACCAAAGAAAAGAGAACCTTCAAGGCGGCAAGGTGAGGTTGTAATGATTTGAGATGATGGCAAAGTTTGGCATACATGGCATACCTCAACAGGAACCTTCATGCATTTTCGGGCGGGCCCCATCCTTCAACAAGGTGCCTTCCCTCCCACAATTACGCAACCTGCCATGGTTCTGGAAAACGCAAGCACCATGCGGCCCTTGTTTGACGGCAATTACCCCTTTCGGGTGGGTTTTAGACGAAAGAGAGGCCAGCCATTGCCGGGTCCCCGATTTCGAGAAAAATCCGTATTGCGTTTTGCGACCGGCAACAGCGCCTGTGTCACAGGCTCCACCAGGCCTCATCCCCCGGCCACAAAAGCCAACCAGTGACCCGAACGGTAAGGAGCCCATTTTTATACTGCTGGGGTTGATTCCATGGCAAAGGAACCCAAACAAACAAAGAAACACAGATCTTAAGGGTGGAAGCGAACACACCAAACAGAAAACACACACGGATTTTGACTCCACTGAACTGGATGGTCAATCTCCTATCCCCGATCTAAAATGGTAAGACAAGATCAACTCGCACCAGAATTCCAACGGCTGACCAAAGCGATGGATGACGTGAGTCTGTCTCAAAAGCCACAAATGCCGCCTGACATGGTAACAACGCTTTCCCGCCCGTTAAATCCAACAGGCGCGGGGTCACAAAATAGGCCTGACAAGGTTGATCCGGAAAGCACCTCAACGTGATGACGGTTCACATAGGCCAATGCGGCAGGCCACACTCCAGGGGCGCTCAAGGGTCTGCAGGGAGCTTCTCACAACATGGATGTTCAAGCACAATGTCCGTTCCTAAAGACATTTGAAGTTACAGCCACCTAAATATGGGGGCTGACAAAACTGGTTTAGGCAGTCAAGCTCAGGCACGGGTCTGCAAGTGGCATGCCCAAAAATCACAATGACCTTCCTTTGCTCTTCGGCAAATATCCTTACGCGTACACTGACTTCCTTGCAGCCAAACATAACCAGGCAACCCGGAGCTTGTCCCCCGGTTTTTGTGGGACGCTTAGAGCTCGTCCCCCGTGTCCTTCCATGTGGCCACTACAAGTAACGAAGGGAAACCATCCCTGCTAAAGCTAAACACTCAGTTGCCCCTGAGAATGACTAAGAATGGGAACCCCAGAATAGGAAACTAAAAGGTCAGAAGGTTGATTCGTCTTGGGCAAGCCACACTATATGGGTGTATCGGTGTATCCTTTAGACTTTAGAATGGACCCCATTGACCCCATAAATGGTGGGTTTTTTTGGCTTCCCTTTAAGCCAACAGAAGATGGTACCCCCAGCAGACAGATCCTGATGGCTTGCCCGGAAGCACCGGGGTTGATATTCACCGGACCAATGGCTGCGACATCTCATAAAGCCGGGGCCAGCACTGCTCATCCCATGCTCGGGAGCCAGACCCTAGGCTTCCTTTCCTGTTTTGGTGAGAGAACGTGCGTGCAACTCCCACTGCGAGAAGTTCAAAGCATGGTTCTAGGCTCCTTTTCAAAAGGCTCGCTTGGCTATTTTCTTCGGCAAATGCAATTCGGCAGCAAACAAACAAAGTCTGACTGAGATTGCTACATGTGATCTTAACTTTGATGCTGACTCCCCCGGAGAGTCCTCAGCAAGCAACGGTTCAAGTTAACCTCAAGTCTAAATCGCCTTCTACGACTTTGTGATAAGCATGATGAGGATCATTGTCTTTGCAAGGATTCCCCCAACAGATACATCCGAAAGTCACATGTTTCACAAAAGGATCCTCTGATTCCGCAGATGCAATTCTCAGCATAGCCCAAGCGTGTTTTTTCGGCCCAGTTGATTTGCCTTGTTCCCGGCCCCTGACTCAATGGCTGAGGCCAAAAGAGCGCGGAGCCAGCGGAGCGGGCGACATAACCGTGGGTCTTTCTGAGTGCACCCTTTTGAACTTGTTTCAAAGCGAGACCAACGGTCAACCACCCATTTTGAGGGCCCCCGTATGCGGAGACAAATCCACATTGTGTTTGTGCTCCGACATGTGCCATGGCCAATCTTAGTCATGTATAAGCCAAAGGTTGATACTATTTCTAGACATGTTCAAACGCAACTTGCTCATGTGCGTTCCACTTTGCTAGGCGGTGGCCCTCCGTGTTCTGCTCATTTGTTCGATTTCGCTGAATTTTGTACTGAAAGCCACTGTTTAGGCCCTTATGCTCAATCAGACAAACATCTGCTCTTTTCTCTTGCTTGCAAGCGCACACGGCGGAGGCAAGCGTCGAGACGCGTTGCCCCAGCGCCTGCCTGATGCGAAGGCCGGTGATTGTCCACCTACTTGCTCAGACATCGCGCAAGCTACAGTCAGTATTAATGGCATTCTCAAGTGGCATATACATTTGGCGAGCAGCCCTCATTTCCTCATGGCAACTTGGCGATCCCCAATTTTGTGTAAACTCCATATCCTGATGGTCATTTGGATAGTGCCCCACGAATCCAAACCACCAATAAAAGGGGCCCTGAAAATTATCCCGTAAAGGAATATATACTGGATGGACGAACTCTAGGCACCAGCTAATTGGTAAAGGATCTTGTCCATCCACCATAGGGGTTCTTTGGAAAATAGATGCCACTGGTAACTAAATGGATAGAACCAAACTTAAAACAGTAGAATCTATTTAAATTCAACCAAACTGCACCTATCTGCACCTATGCTGGGACCTCCTTCTGAGAACAGCTGTCTTGGTGTGTGGCCATACCGACCATACCCCTATCCGAAGAGGGGGGGAGCACTAGCACTAACTTGGCCAGACTGATCCGGCCCGTTTCCAGAAACGAAGCCTTTGCCATGTAAACAGCGAGCATACAGTTTCCGTCTACGGTGGTTTGGATTGGTGGTTTGGAGGCGTTCCCATTTACCCTCCACAAAGACCAGGGCTTCAAATCCCCAAACCACCCATCCAAGCCATCATTTAAGGCCTACCTGAATGCAGGAAACCCGAAGGGTAAACGGGCAAAACAGCCAGTGAAACTTGATGGCTACTACCCCTCTGCCCAACAAGTTGACAGCTTGTTCCACGTTAGTGGGAAACAAGCATTCTTCCAACAATCTACAGGCTACAGAACCAATCAAATAGCATTCCAAGGACATAGGAGGTTGCCATCTGGCACCCCTTGGCCCAAGAGAATATTGGACGCCTCCCCCTATTAACAGTGAGCAATCGCCTGGCAAAAGGGCTCAGATCTTGCAGGTTTAGGTGCTTTTGTCTTCCCCAAATGTTGCAGGACAATCACAAAGAATCCAAGCCCGAATCCCCTTGCAGTTTTCGTCTATAGGCAGACAAGCGAGGACCATGCATCATCCCAAACATCGCTCACTCCCGCACAAGCTCCACAAAGAATGGGTAAGATATGTAGGCAATTCGTTGAGATGGTTATTCATGTTTATTTATTGTTAGCTTGTCGTTCTCGTGCACTAACATATTCAATTCAAAACATGTTCGAACAACATGCAAAACGTTTTACACCTCGGTCAACATCTCCTGCCCCCCCCAACCTCGGCCTCTTGTTTTTGATGTCCCTGAAACGCAAACCCATAAAGGGGTACCTTACCAAGGGCGCCTTAGCCGCCCTTAGCAGGGAGCCTCGGGTCCTCCATGAAGGGCCGGTGGTTGGCATAGAGTGGCTTCAGGGCAGGTAAATGAAACCAACCTACAAAGAGTGCACACCATCTGTATATGAGTCTGGTTAGCCAGCCTAAAGCATAGACGCCACCATCTCCGCGATTGCAGAGGCAGTCGTGTCTACCGGCACGGAGGTGTCAGAAAGAAGCCTCGACGCTTGTGGCTGGGATTTCGTAGGGGATTGAACAGGGTTCCTGAAAGGACATAGTAAGCAACAATGGATACTAATCATCATTGTCGCCGTTCACAAGTTCTCTCTTGACCTGAAAGTCATATAGCGTTGCGGATCTCTCTTTGGAACAGTTCGCTGTCCCAGGAAATTGGTGGGAAACCCACCTGCTGACGGTCAGCACTTCAAAAGCCACCCTTTGAATTAGGCCTCAAGAGGACCAACACGTTTTTCCTGCAAACGTAGTACATAAATCCGAAAGAGGACAGGGTTTCATGCACCTAAAAAATACCCTCCCGCCAAGAAACCTTGCAAACGGATCCCTTAAAGCCTGAGGTGAAGTGCAAAAACACCCGACATATACAGATTCACCCTGTGAGGTGGGATGTCTCCAGCCTTGAGGTTGGCCAATCGAAATCTGGCACTGGGAGTTACCCTCATCCGTTTAGAGGGAAAGCTCTGGGACTCAAGAGCCTTGAGAACCCAACACCCAAAGGAAACTCCCGTATAGGCCCCAGAAGGGATGTTTCAACCATACAGGGGAAGTCTAGGCTGGGCCAGATTTAGAACAGCTGCCAACAAGTTAGCTTGTTGCTGGTTGAAAGGGAAAATGCAGGACACCCGAGGCGAAATGTATGCCTCTCTACCCATTTGGGTGTGGTTTTGACAGTAAAACCCAAAGGAACGCCTCTCTTTGTTCTTTCCCTTTTTTTTTCCGGGGGGGGGGGGGGTCCCAAATTTTTTGCCCTGCCGACTTCATGTTCTCTGATTTTGGGGGTTCCCAATGGAGCCCCGGGAAAAGGCCAAAGGCCTTGGGATTGCGCAGGGCCGAGCCGAGTGTCGCCCACTGCGCGTCGGTGACGTGCGCCGGCTTCGCACAGCTCGCCTCAGGCCGTCCGTTTGCCACGCAGAAGCCGAAGGAAGTCAAAGCTGGGCTCAGATCCCCCCGCGAACAGATCCCTCCCCTTCTCCACCTGCAGCCCAAAGGACCTGGAAGTAAAAGGTGCTCACCTTTTGGGGCCACTAAACTGGGCTGCCCTTTTCTGATCCCCAACGCTAAATCTTTTAGTGGGTTAAACGGAAACTACCACTAAACACTAACAGGCCAAAAAACTAAGGGACTGGATGGCTGGGAGCCACCGAGCAAGCCATGGCCGATACTTTTTTGGATGCTTGAAGGCAAAACCCAAAAGTCAGCTTGGAGAAGTGTGAGAAACACTAGCGCAGGCCACCTGAGCCACCTGCGCTCTGAGTAGCTCTCGATTTTTGGGTCTTTTGAGACAACTCCGCGCGGGGGTGTTTTTTTGAGCTCACCCTTTGTGGGTTTTGTTTGAAGGGAAAGCAAAAGAGAACCTCGCATTTGGTGGGTCTCCTCGTTATATAAAACACCCTTTGGCTCAGCAGGTGATGTTGCAACCCACCTTTCAAGCTGACATCATAGGGTCCCTCGCTTCTTCCGCAAATTCAACATCCCCAAACCTGAACACGTTTCATGGACCCAAGTGAAGGACCTTCCTGGTCCTTCCACCTCTGAGCCATCTGAATCAATCCGAGTTCGGAAGCCTTTGCAGAAGCGGCAACCGAAATTCGACCAGACATAGGGAATCCTCAACTAAGGGACCTTCAACAGATGGATCGCATCCTTTACCCCCTGCTCTGGAATTTGCTCACTTCAATCCCGGAATCAAGAGAACTTCGAGAGGATCTTTCTCATGCCCATCTCTCAGCCACTGCTCAAGCAGCTCTCTAAGAGAAGGTATCCCACCTACCAAAGGCCAGGCCCCAGTTCAGATAAAATCCCCTCAACCGACCAATTCACATAATATGTTTTCATCATTTCATAACAGAACCTCAACTCAAGATTTGATACATAAATTTTACAAATATTTTTCTAAATTTTCAAAAATATATTTTTCCAAAATCCCAAATTCCCAAAATATATTTTTCCAAAATCCTAAAATATAAAATCCCCTCAACCGACCAATTCACATAATATTTTTTCATCATTTCATAACAGAACCTCAACTCAAGATTTGATACATAAATTTTACAAATATTTTTCTAAATTTTCAAAAATATATTTTTCCAAAATCCCAAATTCCCAAATCCCAAAATCCCAAATTCCCAAAATATATTTTTCCAAAATCCCAAATCCCAAAATCCCCATAATTTCAAAACATAAATCTTACAATGTTTTTTATTGTAAGGTTTATGGTGTAATTTCAACTCATATTGTTTCAATATCAACAGGTGTTTCTTCAATAATAGTCGGTGTTTCCTTTTGCTTCTGATTGTTATTATGCTTCTGAGTTTTTTTATGTTCCGACCATCTACATTTTTTAACTTTGCACTGACAAATATCACAAAATACTTCAATTTGACTATAGACTTTGCTGTATTCTTTCATTCTGGCGTTTATTTCTTCCTTATGTGCTTCACGGTATTTTTTGCTTTGCTGATGTTTTTGTTCCTTATTCTTCTGGTGTTTTTCCCTTTCCTTTTCCAAGCACCTTATACAATATTTATTTATTCCGTTGAATTCTTCAACTGGTTTAGTTGCATTACATCTTTTGCAATACTGCTTCTCCATAATTTACTAAGGTAATTTACCTTTAAACCTGTATCATACCCTAAATCCCAAAATCCCAAATCCCAAAATCCCCATAATTTCAAAACATAAATCTTACAATGTTTTTTATTGTAAGGTTTATGGGTTAAATTTAATCATAAATGAACATTTGTTCCTCCTTCCCAAGTTTCTGGGAGACCCTTCCCCATTTCTGGGAGACCCTTCCCCATTTTTGGGAGACCCTTCCCAAGTTTTCATTTTTTGGGAGACCCTTCCCCATTTTTGGGAGACCCTTCCCCCTTTCTGGGAGACCCTTCCCCATTTTTGGGAGACCCTTCCCAAGTTTTCATTTTTTGGGAGACCCTTCCCCATTTCTGGGAGACCCTTCCCCATTTTTGGGAGACCATTGTCAAACCCCAACTCAAATTCCTTAACCCCTCAAACTCGTCAAAATCTCACAAATCAATTCAGCAGGTATTTTGTATAAATCTTCCTGCTTATGTATTACATAATTATCCCCCATTCTGCTTTAGTTTTTGATGGCAGTCGTTGCGCAGTTTCAATATGTTTATTATTCCTAATTTTTCCACAATCTCTATTACATAAATCTCTAGGTGTCCAATTCGTAATGTTATTCCAAAGTCTAGTGCGTTTTCTGTAATTAAATCCATATTTGCAATAATCAACATCTTTAAAATCAAACTCATTCATAAACTCCTGATTTTTTAATAATCCAGTTTGAGGATTTTCGATTACAAAATATTTAGGATTAAAATATTTGATAATCTCAATAGTTTTTAAAACTATACTATTAGCATATTCAATATTCCTAATTCCCTTAGTTTTTGCTACACTATATTCAGTGCACGGGGGACTGCTCCAAATAAAATCAAAATGGTTTCTGTCAAATTGTTTATAATCCCATTCCAAAATATCACAATTAATATCAGCATTTTTCAAGTCTAATGAGATGACATTATAACCGAGTGACTTTGCTATGGTTCCTACACTTCCAGTTCCACTAAATAATTCTAATAAATTCATATTGTTTATTAGAATGATTTAGATAATGTTTTAGAAATATACATATTTATCATCTTCCTTAATAATCTTATAGTATTCTAATGTTTGTTCTTTTGGACTTTTGATTTGTCCCTTATTTAACATATCACAATATTTTTTACGCTTCGTGTCATAATCACCGCTGGGTCTGCCTATCCCTTTCTTTTCAAAGATTTTGTCAATCTTTTCCTTCTCTTCATTGTTATCTTTTGGTTCGTTTGCCTTTGCATCAAGTTTCTGGTCAATAGTTTTTATCATCTCGTACAACAGTTTAACATTTTTACTAACTGTCATTATTTTCTTTGATAGTTCAGAAATAGAATCATTCTCAACTTCAGACATTTCTATATATATTTATTTATATAATTATTTATTTAAATATTTAATTATTTATAAAATTGATTTAATGTAAAATCTACTCTTTAAGTACTAAATTTTCATCATTTGTTTAATAGTTTCCTGTGCTTCGTTATCACCATTATCGGATGGTGACGCATGCCTTCCCCATTTAAAAGTTATATTATGGACATCAGTTTCTAAGTTGATACTGTCTTTAGTTTTATCAATATTCATTTTCTTATCGTTTTTACTCAATTTGAAATTTGTCGGAATACACGAACATTTACAATTTCCTTTCTTTTGAATTTCTAATTCGTTCTTCATTGCTAACATCTTTCTACACATAGGACACTCAAACTCAATAACTGATGTTTCTTTAACAATTTCTTCTTCTTTGTCTTCATCTGTTGAAGAAACTGTAGTATCTGTTTTATTCTTTTTGTTTTTCTTTTTTCCCATTTATATTAATATTTACATTTTTATTTTTGATATATTGTATTCCTAATTTTATTAATTCTAATGTATAAAAGCATACTTTCTTACATCTGTTGTCAGTTATTATCACTTGTTCTATATTCTCTACTTCATCTATTATATCAATATAATCTGAATAACTTCTATCCATATTAAATAATAAGATGAAATAATCATTAAAAATAATTATTTGATCTTATTATTTTCATGCATAATAGAATATTGGTGGGGCACAGCACTTGGGTTTTCATTGCACACGCGAGCAAGACACAAAACTAATTATCTTCAATGCTTATTGATTGAAGCAATGGAAACCTGTTCCGTTTTTATGATATTCACTACCAGCATATCATAAAAAAGATGTTCCATTCAATAATAATTACAAGTTAATTTTTAAATATAATTTTCTATATATCTTTAATATCAATTATGACAAACGTTCCAATAATAAAACCAATAAATATAACTGATTACGATTTCAAACAATCTAAATATGAACATGTGCCAAAACTACCTTTTCGCTCAATTGTTGTTGCTTCATCAACGGGTGGCAAAACAGTTTTAATTCAAAACCTTATCCTAAATGTTTATAGGGACTGCTTCGCCCGTATATTCATTTTTAGCCCGTCGGTTCATAATGACCCTACCTTCGTTGAAGTCAAGAAATATCAAAAAGATAATATGAAGGTTGATGATGAAAAAGAAAAGTTATATTATGACACATACCAACCTGAAGAACTGGAAGAAATAATTAACACACAAAGAAAGATTATTCATTATATGAAAGAACAGAAAATGAAGAAATTACACTCAATACTGATTATTGTTGATGACTTCGCAGATGACCCTAAATTCGTTAGATACAGTAAGTTACTTCATGGACTGGCAACGAGAGGCAGGCACGACGCCATTAGTTTTTGTTTAAGCGTTCAAAAATATCGTGTCCTAGCACCAATCATTAGGTTGAATTCTAGTTCGTTGTATATCTTTAAGTTAAAGAATGTATCAGAGTTAATGTCATTCATTGAGGAAAACTCCGCCATCGTTGATAAAGAGCAACTGTTAAATATGTATCATAAAGCGGTAGATGATAAGCCCTACTCCTTCTTTTATGTCAATATGAATTCCAAAGATGTTAATAATATGTTTTATGTTAGATTTGAGAAAGCTTTTAAAATAAAATAAATCTATTATATATTATAGAATGTTAAAAATGTTTCAAGAAAGAATATATGAAGAACCAGTAAGGTTTTTCGGCGACGATATACCAAAACAAATTCAAGAATACCGGAAGCAAAGACTACAACAATTAGTAGAGTGTGAATGTGGTGAAACTTTTTTAATGAAGGATGCTGTTAACCATATTGAAAGTGATTGTCATATTACTTTTAAGGAAGCAGAAAAAATGAGGAAAGAATTAGAAGAACATATTCGTATAGAAA